GTGATAAACATACAGTATTTACGTTTTACCTGGGTATATATTTTCCCATTTCATGTTCATTGATCTGAAAACCTTTTTCTGAGTTATATAAATTTATGTCTGCCATAAAAGTTGATTTTTTTGCTTGATTAAAAAAAAAAAATTGGTATCCCCCGGGCAGCAAGATGGTGGCCGCCTTGGAGCTTTTTGGAAAGCCAGGTATGATCTGGCGGTGACTGGGCAACTGCAACCTCATGGGAAGGGGAGCAATCCTGGCTCATCCTTCATGCCATACCGAAGTCATGAGTTTCCCCCTACGAGTGGCTCTCTGACAAAGCCATGGCTCCAGAGGCACAAGGACTTAATGCAGAGCCCAGCAGCTTGCGGCAGAAAAGTGAATGGACTATATGCTAATCCACAGCACCATGCCTGCCCAGGAGGGAAGGGGTGTCACTCCCTTCCACCTCTTTCCCCTGGTCAGCAAAATGGCCGCCTCAGAGCTTTTTGGAAAGCCAGGTATGAGCCAGTGGTGACGGGGAAACTGAAACCTCATGGGAAGGGGAGCGTTCCCGGCTCATCCTTCATGCACTATGGAGGTCATGTGTTGCCCCACACGAGTGGCTCTCCTGCACGGCCTTGGCTCCAGAGGCACAGAAACTAATCTAATAATAATCTGGCTCTTGTCAGAAATCCCTCCAGACTTAATAAGGTAAATATTAGAAATCCAAAATTGCGTGGCCACTATCACGGCCATGCGACATCATATGGTTCTCATAACCAGCTGTAGAAAACAAATTATTTCACAATGCCTTTTCAGCAGTTCTGATGGTTAGATGAAAACTCTAAACAATAATGGTGCATCTTTTGTTGAAATAATGGATGTAATTAAAGTAGATAGTTAAGAAAAGAGTCTCCTGCCCCCACGCCTGGCTTCCTCACCAGGGCCCCTTGGAGGGGGGCGGGTTGAGTTTCCCTCCCCTCCCCCAGCAGAGCCCCAGCAGCTGAGGACCTCTGGAGGCAGCCATGGCCATGCTGGGACCACTCTCCACACGTTCGGACAAGCCTCATGCATGAAAGAACTGGCAGAGGAACCCAGGCATGCAGGTCCCGGGGCTGAGATCTCCAAGCCTGCTCGGATTGGAACTGGGCCTTCTCCACCCAGACCTCCTATCCCCATCTTCCAGTAGGTAGGCATCACACCCACCAGCTGCCACCAGTACCAGGTTTCAGAGAAGACCAAGATGCAAAGACTATAAAACCCAGCTCCCAGAAGACAACTTATTATCTCATTTTTCCTTTGGAGAACCTGGCAGGCTACCAAAAGTATCCTGCCCGCAAGGCAGAGTCTGGCAAACTTCCCGTGTTGTACTCAATATGCCAAATACAAGTAAAATGATGGGTCTCATTCTCCTAACCCTGAAAGAGCATTGAAATGACTCTTTTAAAATTTCAGGGCTAGGCTTTTGGAAAACAGTATAGACAATTCTCAAAAAATTAGAAATTGAGCTCCCATTTGACCCAACAATACCACTCCTGGGAATATATCCCAGAGAGGCAAAAAAGTATAGTCAAAGTGACATCTGCAATTATTTGTTCATTGCAACTCTATACAATAGCCAGAATCTGGAAAAAACCTGAGTGCCCCAGAACAGATGTCTGGTTAAAGAAACTTTGGTAGATCTACACAATGGAGTACTATGTAGCTGTTAGAAAAGATGAAGTCATGAAATTTACATACAAGTGGTACAACATGGAAAGTATCATGCTAAGCGAAATGAGTCAGAAAGAGAGGGACAGACATAGAAAGATTGCATTCATCTGGGGAACATAAAGTAACAAAATGGGAGACTAACACCCAAAAATGGTCAAGATTAGTACCAGAAATTTTACTTCATGGCTTGGAGGCCAACCACACATGCTAGGGGAAAAGGGAGCTCAGATAGAGAAGGGAGCAACAAATAAAAGGTGTTGGGAGGATCCTCCCAGGATGGGAGAAGCATGCTGAAAGTAGACTATAGACCAAACATGATTGTCACCCATTGCCTCTTTTGCAAACCACAACACCCAATAAGAGAGAGAGAGAGAGAGAGAGAGAGAGAGAGAGAGAGAGAGAACAAAAAGGAATGCCCTGCCACAGAGGCAGGGTGGGATGGGGGGAATGGGGAGTGGGACGGATACTGAGATCTGTGGTGTGGGAAATGGGCACTGGTGGAGGGATGAATATTTGATCATTGTATAATTGAAATCCAAGCACAAAAATTTATAAGTCTACAAGTACCTCATGGTGTCTCACTAATAAAAATTTTTAAAAAATAAAAAGATAAAATCTCAGGGCTAGGAAGAAGGAGACATTACTGGTGCCTGCTCGAGGCAATCGATGAACAACAGGATGATCGTGATCATGAGATAAGTAAAATTCATCTTCCTCACAGGCATTGGGAGGGGTGGGAGGAGGGTATATTGTGGTTCTTGGTGGTGAAAAATAAGTATTGGTGAAAGGAAAGGTGTTTGATCATTGCATCACCAAGACTTAAACCTGAAAGCTTTGTAACTTTTCCCACAGTGATTCAATAAATAAATATAAAAAAAATTTGGTGAACTATTAAGCACTGAAATCTATATATTATAATAAATAGGGGCTGGAGCAATAGCACAGTGGGTAGGGTGTTTGTCTTACATGTGGTGGACCCATTTCGATTCCCAGCATGGCAGGTTTGATGCAAAAAGTAAAAAAAAATTGATTCTCCCCATCCATGAACAGGGGATATTTTTCCATTTCCTCGTGTCCTCTTTTATTTCCCGAAGTAGCGTTTTGTAGTTTTCTTTGTACAGATCCTTTACTTCCTTAGTTAAGGCGATTCCTAGGTACTTGATTTTCTGGGGCACAATTGTGAATGGAATTGTTTTCTTCATGTCACTTTCTTCTCTTTCATTATTTGCATATAGGAAAGCCATGGATTTTTGGGTATTGATTTTATAGCCTGCCACTTTACTATACAAGCCTATTGTTTCTAGGAGTTTCTTGGTAGAGGGTTTAGGGTTCTCTAAGTATAGTATCATGTCATCTGCGAATAGTGAGAGCTTAATTTCTTCTTTCCCTATCTGGATGCCCTTAATATCTTTTTCTTGCCTAATCGCTATTGCAAGTACTTCCAGTACTATATTGAACAACAGTGGAGAGAGTGGGCATCCTTGTCTCGTCCCTGACCTTAGGGGGAAGGCTCTCAGTTTTTCCCCTTTGAGGATGATGTTTGCTGTAGGTTTGTGGTAGATGGCTTTAACTATATTGAGGAAAGTTCCCTCTATCCCCATTTTGGCAAGGGTTTTCATCATGAATGGGTGCTGGTTCTTGTCAAATGCTTTTTCTGCATCTATTGATATGATCATATGATTTTTATCTTTTCTTTTGTTGATATGATGGATTATGTTGATTGATTTCCGAATGTTGAACCATCCTTGCATCCCTGGGATGAATCCTACTTGGTCATGATGTATGATCTTTTTGATGAGTTGTTGGATTCTATTGGCTAGTATTTTGTTGAGAATCTTCGCATCCGTGTTCATCAGGGATATTGACCTGTAATTTTCTTTTCTTGTGGTGTCTTTGTTTCCTTTTGGTATTAGAGAGATATGGGCTTCATAGAAACTGTTTGGGAGAGTTTCCGTTTTTTCAATTTCCTGGAAAAGCTTGAGAAGAACTGGCAATGTTGTCCCATATTTTTTGCACAGTCTTTTCTTGTAATTTGTAAATGTAAGGCAAATGAAATTAAAATTATTTTCAAAAAATGAACATAATATATAAAGTTTTTTAAAAATATAAACCATATTTCATTTTATCAGTCCATTATCTAGCACATATGACGTTTAAATAAATCTGAATCTCTCGAAGAGTTTGGGACTTTGGCTATGGGAAGACTGTTTGCTAGGGAAAGGGCATCATTTGACTCAGGTCCCAGGACTGAAGTCAAAGCAGCCACAGAAATCAAGCATTGCAAACATCTGGGACGATGCTGATGCAAACAACTTGCTTATGAAAAACATTTTATGTTGAATTTTAATGAAGAAGGGTGTGTTTCATAAAGTCAAATTGTAAGTTCCATGCCAGTGAATTTTAATACTTCACTGAGCATATGGAAAGGAAAGTACGTACATGAGTCAGGAATGTGAAGCTTTTTACGTAAATGGAAAAGTAACCCCCAAAAGCCTTATACTTGTTGATGGTCCAAGTGAGACCATCGAAGTTAGTAGGCTAAGTTACCAGGAAAAGGAGATTTAATTTCATCCTTTTAGACGATGTTATCCATAATGAATTTTGCTTAATACTATGACAATTGGTGGATCTGACTATTGTTTCATAATGAATTAATATTGCTGCTATAGGGATGATTCCTTATTCTAGGAACTGCGCAGAGTTTCAAGCATAAAAACAAGTAGTCAACAGAGTCGGATCTTTCTTTCTGCTCAAGACAAGATATACAATCAGTTCAGTAAAGTGTGCTGAGTGATCCTTAGCAATGTAGATAGGATGCACAAGGAGAATTGACAGGGTAACAAAAGTATTTTAGAAACTGGAGCGGACATAGTATTATAACATAGTAATGCAGACTGAGAACTCACAAAGCCTATTGAGGGGTTCTACACCCCTATGTGAATCTGTTGAGATGCCGGACAGAGAAAAACTCATGATAACATCTTAACGTAGCCTCAGACTTAACAAACTTTGTTGTCCTCCCTTGAAAGTTCTTCCTGAAAATCTCTGTTGTGGAATTAAAGTAGGACTTCATATTTTATTAATTCAATTTTCAGGCACTGCAATGCTACAAAAAAACCCTTTTTGTAGCATTGCAGTGCCTGAAAAATTATGCCTTCCTAGGAGGAGAGGGAGAGTGGCTCAGGAAGTCTGTTAGAAATCGTGTCTTTGTTGCTGCTATGTTTCCTGTACAGTAGGCAGGCCTTCCTCTGAAGTCCTGACAGTTATAAAATTGCAGCTTACAGCACTAGGATGCCACTTGACTGATGATGCATGTGCAGTATATTGCTGGAGTGAAGGGTTTTCTGCCAAATAGCTTAGACACAGGTAACAGTCTAGTAGCTGGTAAACTTGGCTAGGAGGAAAATCCTGAAAAGAACAAGAGTCACTGAAAGCCAAAGACAGCTGTAAGAGGGCTTTCCATTGTTGCTGTTATTATTTGTTATTTGCTTTTGTTATTATACCTGTAGGCTATTACAAAAACACTCAGAACTAGATGACTGACTTCTTAGAGAATCAATTCACATTTTCCTGGTTTTTTCTTTTTAATTTAAAACCTAAAGTGACATTTTCCTTTAATATTTGGCCTGTGACAGAGGGTTATAAATTCTTCCATTAAAATTAGGCCACATGTGCTGAGAGAGTGCTAATAAGGAGCATGAACTTGGGAAGAGAGGCAGATCTAAGTTTAGTTCATGTTCTGCCACTGTGTGAAATAGAAATATTATGTACTTTTCTCACTTTCATTTCCTCTCATGTGGATGAGATAATAGACACCATGAAGTCAAGTCGTTTCAAAGTTAACTTGAGGAAAATATAAAAATTCTAAGCAAAGGGCTTAGAACAGATGCAAAGAGTGTTCACTAAATAGGAGCTCATATCTGTATCATATTAAAGGAGAAATGCACATTCCCAGGCAAAATTGTAACGTTTTGTGTAAGACTATTGGTCTTCAAGTCTCTATCAACATCAGTTCACTCTCTTCACTTATATAAAATGTAAGCATTCATAATCAGATGGCTATGCATTAACATTCAGGTAAATGTAAATATCAATTATAAAGTCATAACATCTTAGAACCAGGGGATTCCCCCTCCTCCAGCCCACATTTACAAGTGATTCTTGGTAAAAATGTGGATTTATAGAAATAGGGATAAACTTGGTGCAAAAGGATGAGGGACATTCCTGTCGCTTCTCTGCTCTGACACTGAACAAGTATTAAACTGCCTCACTTCTTCAAGGCTGCTTTCCACATTAAGAGCCATAACACTTCACTGCAAAATTGTAACGATTTCATAAGGTAGCATAGCGTACTTCATCAGTGAAATTATGAAAGGAAAACCTCATGTTTAAACAGTATGAGAGTGTGTGTCCCTGAGGGAAGGCTGAAAACAAGAAAGGCTGTGAGTCTGTGAGTCCATCAAAAAGACAAAACGAAAGAAAGAGGAGCGATTGATGAGCCTTCGAGACTTGTTATAATGTCAGAGGACCACGCATTTGAAGAAACCAGAAATCAAGCCGTAAGATTAAGGTAAAACGGGATATCCTTGCCTGAGAACTGACCAGACTTCCGGGTTCAAGACTGAATGGCAGGGCAGAGGCACAGCTAAACCTGAGAGAGCCAGGAAGGGGAGCCCGCACATGAAGAACTTGCTTCAGAGTCAAGTTGTCTTTCACAAAAATGAACAAATCCAGCAGGATTCATTTTCTCCTTTTTAAAAGTCTCTTATGAAATCTCCCGTGGAGCTGATAGCCACAGCAGAGCTGTGAGTGTCATCAGAACCCCAGCCCTCCCCAACACACAACGTATATCACATTTGGTCGGCTGATACCAAAGAGTATGATTTCACATGTAAAAAGACAATACCACGCATTGTTGAAAAGTTGGCTTCCACATTTCAAGAAATTTAGAATTGGGTGTCTTGTTTGGGTGCTCAGACAAGAACTGGGCTCTTGCACCCAAATTGTCTATTGAGTGAACAATATCCCAGCATCATCAGGAATCTTATTGCAGCAACAAATGAGAAATCTTTCTTCTTCTTTTTTTTTCCACGATATTCCCTCCATGCTAGAGGCTAGGATTACTAAACTCCATTCCAGGTGCAGTATTGACATTCATCTTTCTATCCACCATCCTGTGATATTGTGAAAGAGATAATTTCTACTCAAACACTTAAAGCCTGTGTTCTCTGTCACATTTGATGATAGGATTTCCCTTGCCTTTATTAGGTGTACATTATTCAGATGCTGTATCAAAGAGTCATTGTTTTACTGAGCCCAAAAAGTAAATTAAGTCTTTGAGAGGTGGATGACTTTGATAAAAAGCTTTAATTGGGGATACATAGAAAGCTGATAATTTTGCTGCATGTTTAGCTGAAGGTATGTATACCAGCCTGTGAGTTCGGGTGCCTTTACAAGCTGCTACTGCAGCTCAGAGAAGCTTTTATTCTCCCTTTGGTAAGGGGATAACAGTATTGAACATTGAACACAAGCATGACTTCTTCATAGGCAATGTACCTCATGTGTGTCAGGAGGATTTCAGCTTGGATTCCTGTGCCAGTTAAAAACTAAATCTTTCTTGGTGGAAAGCAAATTGCTGACACTTGGAGAAAATTCTAATAGAAAATCCCATCCAAGTGTATTCAAAAGTGAGATGTCAATCTTTTCTGAAATTTGTTGAGCAGTCTCTTAGTATCAGCAATGAGTTCATTTCAGTTAAGGATACAGCAATGATAAAAGATAAAGATTAGAGAAAAAATGAAGTTGGCATTTCTTTTCTCCTTAAAATTAATTTTCATGCTAAGTATCTTGGCGTAAGTATTTATGTTATTCTTTCAATTGCTTTTAAAATAAACTTTAGTCACTGTGATTTACCATATTGTTAATGGCAGGATTTCATGCATACAATACTCAACATCATCTTTCACCAGAGAGTCCTTTTCCCTCCACTATTGTCTCATGTTATCTTCTCAAACTATTTCCAACACCCTGCCACAAACTCCACCATGATAAGCTCAATTTTGTAAGATAACTTCTCAGAATTTGTTGTCTTGGTCATTGGTTATCCCCTGATTTTTTTTTCCCCACATGAGAGATCATTTTGTATCTGTTCTCCTTTTGGCTAACCAGCATACAAGGCTCCAGTACTCCAACAGTGTTACATTATGACAAATTGTATGAGTTAATCTTTTAATATAGCTAAGTATTACCTCCATGTATATCTCTTCTCCCATTTTTGATGTTTTCCTTGTTGAATTTTAAGTGATTTCATGTATGCGTGTATAGGTATATATATGCACATATAAGGCTGTTGTCAATTGAGTGAGGGTAAATACTTTCTCCCAGTTTGGGGGATTTTTTTTTTCTGGTAGCCATTTATTTTACAGTACAAAATCTTCTTAATTTGTTTATCCTTGCTTCAAGTTGTGTGGCCACTGGCATTGAATCCTCAAAGATACCTCGAGATTCAATGTCATAAAGAATTCTACCTATGTTTACCACAACAAAATACATGAATTCAGGTCAAACATAAACATACTTAATGCATTTTGAATTTACTAGAGTGCATGGTATGAGATAGGGGGTCTCAACTCATTTGTTACATGTAAATGACCAGTTTTTCCAACATCATCTATTGAAGACATTTTATTTATTCCAGTCATATTTTTTAGCTCCATAGTCAAAGATTAGAAGACTATATACCTGAGGATCTTTTTCTTGGCTCTCAATTTTATTACATTAACATTAAGAACGTGTCCTTATTCCATTAACACATTGCCTTGATTACTATAGTTTTATGTCATAATTTAAAGTTTGGAAAGAAAAAGTCATATTTTTATTCACACGACTGCATTGGCTATTCAAAGATTTTTATTATTCCATATAAATTTCAGCAGGATTTGTTCTGTCTTAAAATTTAAAAAGCCACAGGCATTTTTATAGGAAATGCATTGGATATGTGTAGTGCGTTGGATAGGATCGTCATTTTGACAATAATAATCCCTTTGATTCATGAATAAGGAAATGAGCTTCCATGTTCTTGGTTTTTTCTTTTATTTATTTTAGAACAGATTAATATTTCCCTTTTACAAGTCTTCGACCATTTTTTATAAACTGGCTCCTCCGCCCCTCTCAGAGAGCCCAGCAAGCTGCCGAGAGTATTTCCCCCACACGGCAAAGCCTGGCAAACTCCCCTGGCAAACATATGAAGTATTCGATATGCTAAACACAGTAAAAACAAGTCTCACAATGGAGATGTTACTGGGCCCGCTCGAGCAAATCAATGAACAATGGGAGGACAGTGCTTATACTGAGGTTCCCAAATGTTGGATATTTTAAGGTTCAATTGTGAATGACAATTTCTTAAATAATTCTCTCTTCTATTTCACTTTTTTGCATATGGGAATTTCATGGATTTCTCTGTGCTAATGTTGTAGCCTGTCATGTTTCTTACACATTTTCTTTATTTTTTTATTTTTAACACTACTTGATTTTCTGGCACTATGAGAAATTTCATTACTTCTACTCAGATTTCTTCAATACCCATGTCCACCTTCCTACATGCCAAATTCCACAGGATGGATATGTCATTCCCAATGTTCTCTCTTCTGAAATCTGACACGCCATTTCGTCGGTAAAGAAACAAACAGCACCCGGCCCAGAAGAGGTCAGATCTGAACACCTGAAGAATCTGCCATCAGTACTCATCAATACGCTGGCTCCACTCTTCACATGCTACCTGTCTGAATGCAAGGTTCTGTCCCAATGGAAAACCAGCAGGACTGTATTACTGTAGAAGAAGGGAGACATCCACGACATTGGCAACTATCACCCGTTCTGCCTATTGTCTGTCATCTATAAGTTGTTCACTCAAGTCATCCTGAATAGGATTGGCAGAACACTAGATGAATGACAACCATGAGAGCAAGCCAGGTTCCAAAAAGGAGTCAGCATGATCGACCATATGCACACAATAACCAAGCTATTGAGGTTTATCGGGAGTTCAAGATGCCGCTCTATCTAACGTTCATTGATTTAAAGAAGGCCTTTGATTCTGTTGAGATGGAAGCAGTCACTGAAGCCCTAGCCAATCAGGGCATTCAAACTCAATACATCAGGATCCTCCGTGAGCTATATTACGGATTCACTATCAGGATCTCACCATTCTACAAAGAAGTGATCGTTGATGTCAAGAAAGGGGGTCGGCAGGGTGACACCATTTGACCGAAACTCTTCAGTGCCACCCTCCAGAACATCATGCAACGACTGGAATGGGAAGGAATGGGAGTGAAGAAAGATGATCGGCAACTACAACACCTTTGCTTTGCTGGTGACATTGTTCTAATAACACCAAACATTAGCCAAGCGGC